TTGCAATACCTTCTTCTTCAACGTCTGCTCCTACGGAGGTCATTATTGGATTGAAAAACTCAAAACTTTCCCTTAATCCCCATACTTCAATTTAATTAGTACTTACATACGTTTATGACAATTTAAAATTGACCCTCTTACTGTTGGCCCCCCTTACAATTATTAACGAGCTCATAGCTAGTTCATAATTTTGCTATATCTGTGCGTCATGTGAGTCCGTTAGCACGATATCTCGAATACAAATAGACTTAAAAACTTAAAACTTGAATAATTTATTTGATTTCATAATTTAAAAACTTATATGTTATTTTAATTATCACTTGTTATGTATGCTTTTGTTTCAAAGACAACTTTGATGAATATAAATATTGCAATTTAAATTTATGAATGAGTGCATTCTCTGAGTAGGAAACCGATATCAAAATGCGATGTTTACTGACGTTTTCACTTTTCCTTCTTATTTGATAATATCACATAATAGTTTCATTTGAAATTTTTGAAAAACCTACAAAGTTTATGTAAATGTCAAACCGTGCCCTCTACCACTCATCATGATTTCTATTCGTGTAAAATCTGATTACAAAAAGAGATCTTCTTCCAATAAAACCAATTATGTGAAAATCGGTTAACCTAAATCGAAATTACCTTCAATTCCTTAAAAATATGTTACCCTTCTCCCACTCCTCATATTTTATGAGCTAGAGCAATATGTGCTGCATCAAAGTGATGCAAAATTCATACAAGATTGCGATTGATGTGTTTTATATGGGTTTTTGGGTATATTTTAGAAAAGTTATTTGTACAACTAGAGAAGAAAGTGAAGTGAACTCGAGTTCAAAATTTGACACATGCGCGTAGCGAGTGTGTCAATTGAACGAGAGTTGAAAAACACATTCTCCTCAAGTTTTACACATCATTTTTTCTGAAACTACAATCAAAAATTATCGTATACAATAATGATGTTTGACACTTAGCAATCTAGATACAGGTATGTTTCAATTTTAAATGTCATTATTAAGGTTAACACAGCAATTGTTTTTTATACTTTCCTCACTAGAGAGGAAAATCACATTTTCTTCACCCTTTTTAGAGACGAAAGTAGTTGTAAACTAGTTTAAAAAACGCTGTGTAATTAACGGTTCCATACATATGGCCTGTGACCTTTAGAACACTCTACAACTATTTTTGAAAATGATACTTTGTTTCATGAATTAGTGAAAATAAGTGAAAAAAAAACTTTCAAAACGTACACGTACATTTTCGATACGATTTTTTTGAGAAAAAAGCTTCCTCGTAGATTGTACGTAATGCAGTAATTGTTTTCCGGTAGGTATTTATAAATCCATACTACAAAAATTTCTCTCTGGGCGTTATAGTAAATCCACTTCATCTACCAGCAAATGGTTTTGTTCCATTTTCTGGGGTCATTTCCACATTAACAGTCGGCCCGAAAAAATAAATTGCTCTATCCAAATTCGTTTACATCCATTTAACCAAAATCCATCCACAAATAAGAAAATTAGCACTTCACATGCACAATCTATTCTTTGACATGTCATTTCAACTTGATTTTATAAGAAAAAAATCATCTTAGCGTAAGTATAGAATTTATAAGCACAAAAATCTGATACAACAACACGATCATCGAGATCATGCATCCATTAATTTTACAACACACCTCCTGAAGGGGTTGTTTCTGTTCCCTCAGATCAGCATAGTTTGCAAAACAAATGTTTTAATTTGGTATTAGTTTTACTTTTATTCGAGGTGGGTATACAGGGTGGTGACTTGCGTCACGCATCATAGGGATTTCAATGTAAAATTCATAACATGCGATTATTGGCTCCCCAAATTATTTTAAAGCAAAAATGTATTAAGATTTTTTGTAGAAAAAAATTTTTTGCGTCAATCAACCGTATTAGTTTTCAATTTTTTGCATAATAAAGACGGAAAATTGGAAAATAAAACCCACATCTTTTTCAATAATCTGTGATGCCATGGAATTTTATAATACAAAAATTACGCCAATATCCGTCATGCCATGGAATGTCTGCTATAAAACAAATCAAATTTTATCAAAAAGTATTATATTTAGAACAGCGAATTCGACATAAAGAAAGACCAAATTACTAAACGCGGTTTCCTGATATAACAATTTACAATAAATGTTCGAGTAAGTCACCATTAACTGCAATACAGTAACCCAGTCGATCATAAAATCCATTTCGAACTGCTGCTAATTGATAACTGGATAAGTATCTTTTTGTTTTAGAAAATTCCATGGCATCGTAGATTATTGAAAAAGATGCGGTTTTTTTTTCCAATTTTCCGTCTTTACATGAAAAAAATTGAAAACTAATACGGTTGATTGGTGTAAAAAAATTTTTTCTACAAAAAATCTTAATACATTTTTGCTCTAAAATAATTTGGGGAGCCAATAATCGCATGTTATGAATTTTACATTGCAATCCCTATGATGCGTTACGCAAGTCACCACCCTGTATACAAAATTTCATTTAACTCTCTTAACAATAAACAAGTTAAAAAGTAATCGTAAACGATTTACATAAAGCGCATTTCCACTTGCATTCATTTTCCATTTGTAAGATGCAACTTCTATAAAATCGTAAAAATTCGGCCACAAATATGAAAGATAGCGTTGCACATGGGCAATCCATTTTTGTTGTGCTACTTCAATGTCAGTTTATGAGAAGAATTTCATTTCAATGCTTTTCTAAATAAGAAAGTTGGAACTGCGCATGCGCAAACCTAAATTTTGAAACTAATGTTAGATTTTCCTTTGTTCCAAGCGCCTAAATATCAAATTTCACTTAAATGCTTCCATAGATAAAAAAGTTAGTACTGCGCATGCGCAAAATAAAATTTTGAAACTGGTGCTAGATTTTCCTTTATTCCAAGTGCCTATGTATCAAATTACATTTAAATTCTTCCATAAATAAAACAGTTGGCACTGCGCATGCGCAAAACCAAATTTTGAAATTGGCGTTTGATTTTCCTTTATCCCAAGTGCCTATGTATCAAATTTCATTCTAATGCTTTTATAAGTAAAAAATTTTGCAATTTTGGCATTGCGTATTATATGGCTAAAGCTATGCCCATATTGAATTTCGTGCAATTCAGTTCATAACTAACGGAGATGTAAAAGTGATCGAACATTTCTAAACCAAGTTATCGTTCACAAGGACAGATAGATGGACAGACAGACAAAGGAACAGACGGACAGACCAACAGGCAGACGACAGATAGCAATGCAAAATTATAAACGATCTCTAGGATCGTTAATAAACGGCAAAAGTGTAAAATTATGGAACATGTAAAAAACGGTTTTTTGTTTTTTTTAAAATAACTTTTTTTGTAAGCGGTACAGAAAAAATTCCTTCCTTGGTACAAGACTCGACACCATAACGAACCAAATAGCGAAAAAAGTAGAACAATAGCTCCTAAGATAAAGGACTAGTAGCGTCGCAAAACGAGCGGACGGACGGACGGACGGACAAAGTGGCCACAATAGCGCATTTTTTTTTATTTTTGTGGAAATGCGCTAAAAATAGGATTGCGCAAATGTCAAAACAGAATTTTTTAAAAGTTTGGTCAGTTTTTGAGCTGTAACATTTTGGCCCGTTAGTCTACGTAGCCGAAAAATAATATCGACCTTTCTTATATCCTTGAGAACATGCGTACCAATTTTAAAAGCGATTCGGCGTTTCTACCCAAAGTTATCGTACACACAGACTGACAGACAGACAGACAGACAGACAACAGACAGACAGACAAAAAATACAAAATTATATCTCGGAGATCGTTAATAAACTGCAAAAGTCTAAAATTATCGTATAAATGAAAAAATTGATGTTTGCAGAAAAATTTCTTTCCTTGGTGCAAGCCACGACACCATAACGAACCAAATAGCGAAAAAAGTAGAACGATAGCTCTTAAGACAAGACAAAGTAATTATTGAAGAAGTATGCACCATGGACCTTCGAATGGGTATTCTCGATGCTTAGAAGCGACACAAACTCCAAATAAAAAGAAAAACGACAGTTGAATGGAAATGCACATGTATCATGTAAACAGAACATTGGGCAAAAAATACAGTAAATACGTAAAGTACGTGTGTACGTCGTTACAATGATAACCCGCTTTACTAATATCATTAATTATACGTTGCTCTCAACATCAAAAACCGCTTCTTAATTACTTTTACACATAACGCTTTGTGTTTAAAAGCAAGTTTAATTAGAGCTCATGGCGGAAAAGTAATAGCGTTCTCCTATTTTTTTGCGACGGGGATGCCGTTTTGTCTTTTAATTTTTTTCTAAATACAACACAGTTGCCGAGACATGAAATTCGATTACGAACTTTTTAGAGAGAATGACACTTTGTCGTCGACTGAAATGACTTTCAATAATAAAACAGAAGTTGTCATAAGTTGGAGATGAAATTGGAAACTTTATACACGATATAACAAAATTTCGCTACTTAAATCTGAAACATCCCCTTTAACAAGAATCAATTGTGACCTCATAATGTAATTTTCTAGAGCGAAGTTACATGCGATGCGAAGTTGCTGTGTATATACACAGTTTTTGTTGCAAATACTTTTTTTATTAAACTAATTGCGTATTGTATAAAATTACTTTATTGTTCTTGCAATGGAAAACGTCGCTCTGTTGAAATATTTTTGCATATAATTGCGCTTGTGGTAATGGAAGCGTAGATAACCCAAAAAGTAGTTAGTTATTACGTATTCGGATTTTGGTTTCCGGTCCGTTCTACAACGAGAAGACAACAAATATGCGGTTACATTTCCACTAAGGGTTATGAATAAAACAATGGCAACTAAAAGCTTAACCACTTTACGGTTGTATCTTTCAAATTTGATGTAATTTTGTAATGTAATGTGTATGCAAAACAAAAATTTTACTTCGACCTCCAGTCCTCGATATCAGAATTATTACAACGTAGTACGTCCCTGGACTACTGCGTGACGAGCACATGTTTAAAGAAAAGAGAACAAAATTCTCAAACCGGCGCTGTAAGCACGGCGCACTCGTCACCGCGTGCAAGCTTCATTACCGTTTCTGTGCTACGCGCTGCATGTGCTTGCTTTTTGCATTTCAGCTTTTTCTATTAGTGATTTGCTTTTTAGTTACTTGTGCGTACAGTAAGTAGGTTTATAACCTTATTCTTTTAGCACACGGAAACTTTGTACCTCTATTCGAGGCGGTTTCCTTGTTTAGGGGAAGTTTTAATCAGTTTTCCCCCTTTATAGTTAGGTATGGGAAAGCATTCAAAACGTTCTCGATCACGTTCTCGAAGCAGGGGCAGGAGCGACAAGCGTCGTTTTAAACGACCTCGCTCAAGCAGCCAAGAAAACCGCTTCGTCAGCGTCGCGTCGGATGAGATTCTACGCCGCTTAGTATTATTAGAACAAAGAATCCATTCTCGGCACAGTAGTTCCCTTTCTCGAGTTTCGGAATTACCAAGGGGAAGCGGCGAGCGTCCTTCTCCCGGAACTTCGTCAGCCATTTGTTCGCGCTCTGCTCACCAGGATCTAGTCGTCGGTGACCGATCCCCAAGCTGTACAGCGGCTTCGGAGGCTGAGGCACCGTCGTCATGTCCGGATTTAATTTTGCCAGAAGCCAAGGAAGAGTACACGCCTAGCGCGGTACCTTCCCGGGCGGCATCTCCTTTGGATGATACAGACGATGTACTCATCCTAGAGGAGGACTACAACTTTACTGAAATTCTAGGAGAAGAGCCAAATGATGAAATAAATTTATTTACTTTAAATAAGGCTTTAGCCAGTAGATGGGACGTAAGTTTACGTAAAGGAATTCCTCCTAAAGACAAAGACACTTTAAAGGATGTTAAAATTCCTACCAATCTACCAAACTTGTCGCCACCGGCGTTAAACCCGGAATTGTTAGTTAACTTGTCGACGCTACACAAAAAGCGAGACGAGAGCTATTTGAATTTACAGAATTCTATAGCACGCGCTCTTATTCTTAATGGCGAAGGATTGGGGCTGTTATTGCAGGAAAATCACCTCTTACCTAAAAAATTAAAAGACGCTCTTTTGAGTAAATTTTGGCAGGCGGGCCAGGCTAATGTTGATTTATTCACCACGGTTACTCAAACTCGCAGAAGTTTATTGGTACCAGCACTTGCTAGGGACCCAGTAGTTAAAGATATCGCCGAAACCTCTTCGGCAGACGACATGCTGTTTGGTAAAGATTTTGGCGTAAAAGTGGCAGCTGCCAGAGCTTTAGCCAAATCTGGGAAAGAGCTTGTCGCACCCCAAACTTCTTCTTTACCTCGAGTTTCACAACCAAATGTAGGAAGGGGACCAGGGGGATCCAAGGTCCCTTCTGGACATTCAAAAAACTTGCGTCGCCCAGTACGTTCGATGGGGAAGGAAAATGTACAAAGAGGGCGCCATCCCCAAACTCCGCATCAAACTACGAGACGTTACAGGAACTCGATGAGAAACAGGAAGTAGAGGTAAGTAATTGTATAGCGGGCAGATTGTCGTTCTTTTCTTCGGAGTGGAGAAAGTTTACTTCAAATGCCACGGTACTGGATTATATTTCAGGGTATAAAATACCTTTTTTGTCAGTACCGAAACAAAGCTTTCCTCCGAAGGATTCTTGGTTTCCTCCGGAAGAACTTACGTTAATAAGGAACACTATAGCGGATCTACTTTCTATGAGAGCTATACAATTATGTGAACCCGAGTTAGGACAGTTCATTTCCCGGATTTTCTTAGCAGATAAACCCAATGGAAAGAAAAGGTTTATTCTGAATTTAAAACAATTAAATTATTTTGTAGAGGCACCTCATTTTAAAATGGAGGATATTCGTACGGCCTCTCGCTTAGTTAAAAAACGTAGTTTTTTAACCACAATCGATTTAAAGGATGCTTACTATTCCATACCAGTGGACCCTAACTTTTACAAATTTTTGAGATTTAGTTTTGAGGGGTCTCTATATGAATTTAGATGCATCCCCTTTGGGTTGGCATCTGCACCTTACACTTATACTAAATTATTGAAACCGGTGGTTCAACATTTTAGACAAAGGGGTGTGTGCTGCGTTAACTATCTGGATGATTTTCTTATTATTGGAGATACCGTTTCGGAATGTCAAAAGCACACACAATATGTATCGGGAGTTTTTAAAATCTCTAGGATTTCTTATAAATCGAGAGAAAAGTAACCTAGAGCCAAAAACAAGTCAAAAATTTTTAGGTTTTACTCTGGATTGTTCGTCACTGAAGCTAAGGCTTCCGATAGAAAAGGAATTAAAAATTGTTAGTTTGATTTCTTACTTCTTAAGAGTAAAACGCTGCAAGATAAGGGATTTTGCCAAGTTAATAGGAGTTTTAGTATCAATTTGTCCAGCAGTACAATACGGCTGGCTTTATACTAAAATTTTAGAAAGAGAGAAATTTTTAAACTTAAAAATTAATGACTCTAATTACAACTCTGACATGATTTTGTCAAATAAGGTAGTATTAGATTTACATTGGTGGATTCGAAATATACCAAATTGCTCTAAAAATTTTTCGGTGCGATTCGTTTGATCTGGAAATTTTCACCGACGCATCGTTAAGTGGATGGGGGACATGGGCTGGTAGACAATGCACTCACGGTTGGTGGAGTGAAGCTGAAAAGAATTTACATATAAATACTTTGGAATTAAAGGCGATTTATAACAGTCTACGTAGTATCGCGAGAGATAGAAAATCTTGCAATATTTTGGTGAGAACGGATAACACCACAGCCATGTCCTATGTTAACAGAATGGGAGGTATAAAATTTGAAAATTTAAATTTTTTGGCTAGAAGCATTTGGCAGTTTTGTGAGAGGCGCAACATTGTCCTGGTAGCAGCTTACATTAGCTCTAAAAGCAACTCTCTGGCAGACAGAGAGTCTAGATTGTTACCTACAGAAACCGAGTGGTCTCTGGCTCCTTCGGCTTTCAGCAGAATTGTGGCGGTTTTTGGCATTCCAGAAATCGACCTTTTTGCATCTTGTAATAATCATAAATGCAAAAAATATATCTCGTGGTTACCGGACCCACACTCGGTGGCAGTAGATGCCTTTACGGTTAATTGGAGAGATCTGAATTTTTACGCCTTTCCACCTTTTTCTTTGATTTTGCGAACAATTCAAAAAATAGTCCAGGATAAAGCAGAGGGTATTATGGTGGTGCCTTTTTGGCCCTCTCAAGCTTGGTATCCACTATTTTCAAAATTAAAAGAAAAAGAAATGTATTTAGAAAAGGCATCTAATTTACTGTCTTCTCCTTTCAGGGAGGAACACCCATTGAATCTTACCCTGGTTGTGGCAAGATTATCCGGGAAGCGTTCGAACTAAAAGGCTTTCCGAGTAGCTGTATTCATACGGCGGTTTTATCCTTAAGTAAATCAACTTTGTCTCAATATAATAGCACATAATAAGCTTTGGTGGAAATTCTGCATTGATAAGAATATTCCCATCTTCCAAGCTGGTCCACAGGAGGTATTATTGTTTTTGCAAAATACCTTAGAACATCACCCCTACAAATATGGCACTTTTAACTGTCATAGATCTGCATTATCTCTAATTTTACCAAATTCGGTAGGGGAGGACATTAGAGTGAGGCGATTTATGCGAGGAATTTCCAACTTGAGGCCAGCCTTACCAAAATACAACATCACTTGGGATCCAAAACTTCTATTGGTCTATTTGAAAGGATTATTTCCGACGGAATCACTATCTCTAAAATTTCTCAATCTCAAACTAGCAACTCTGTTAGCTTTAATTACGGGTCATAGACTGCAGACAATTTCCTTGATTAGACCGTCAAATATTAAAGTATCATCTACGGGCTATCAAGTTTTAATCACAGATAAATTAAAAACTTCGTCGTCAAGTACTCCGTCTAGCTTACATATACCTTTATTTTCAGAGGAACCAGCTTTATGTGTTGCTAGTTTGTTAAAAAGATATTTGGTAGTAACCAGTTCTTTTCGGTCACAGCAGGCTGATTTTTTATTCCTGACCCATCAACGTCCGCATAGAGAAGCCACTAAGCAAACAATCAGCCGGTGGGTGAAGTTAACAATGGAGCTAGCAGGTCTCGACACATCCAAATTTAAGCCTCACTCCACACGCCATGCATCAACGTCAACAGCGCTAAAAAGAGGAGTACCATTGGCAACAATCCTAAAAACTGCTGGTTGGTCAAGAGAATCCAATACGTTTAGAAATTTCTATAACTTGCCCATCACAGATGACATGGATTTTGCTGTTTCGATATTACAGGCAGCAAGATAATCCTGACCCAGTTATTTAGGAAGTTAGAATTTGTTTAAGTTTTAGTTAAATAAGGGTTACGTTAGTATACCTACACAAAATTTGATTGGTTTATGTTCGAGAAGTTCATTTATTATACTTTATGAAAGAAATCATTTTACTCTTTTGAGCCACTGTGGCTCGGACTGCTTTGCACGTGGTCTTTAAAAATCTACGTTGTAATAATTCTGATATCGAGGACTGGAGGTCGAAGTAAAATTATCAAATCAAACGAACTTACCTGAAGTGAAGTTCGATTTTAATTTTATGAGACCTCCAGTCCGAAGATATCAGAACCCACCCTTCCCTTCCCGATTTGCAAAGCAGTTCTTTAAACTTAATGAAGCTTGCACGCGGTGACGAGTGCGCCGTGCTTACAGCGCCGGTTTGAGAATTTTGTTCTCTTTTCTTTAAACATGTGCTCGTCACGCAGTAGTCCAGGGACGTACTACGTTGTAATAATTCTGATATCTTCGGACTGGAGGTCTCATAAAATTAAAATCGAACTTCACTTCAGGTAAGTTCGTTTGATTTGATAATAATTCACTGCAGGTATTATCCAGATTCAAGCTCGATAGGGTAGCAACTAATTTATATTCTAACATAATGAATTCAAGTACATTAGGTTGTGTAATTAAATTTATCGATTTTAGTTTTTTCTTATCCCTGTTAATCCCGTAGCTAATGTCTAATTCGGACGAAATTGGTTTAACTTGAATCTCGATTTATGGAATTTTAAACCAGATGGAATCTACGAAAATCGCATTTCCATTTTCGTCTTCGGTTCATTATCCAATATAATTACCAAAAGCTGCAACATTTTATCAGAGATTTTAAAAAATTAACGAACCGCAGTAAATGAGAAAATGTAAAAAATTATTTAAAAGAAAAAATTATGTAAATATGAAACAATGAGGAAGCAGCAGGAAATAATACTATCCGGACTGAAACGCAAAATTAAGCAAAGAGATGTAGGAAAAATTAAAAAATGAATGATGAAGGAAAAAAAATTAATGAGACAAGAAGATAACGACATTGAATAAGGAATCTTCAATAACGCATACCCGTTCTCAACTTTATTATTTTAGTTGGTGTCGATTATTTAGCAAAATTGGGTATGTTTGGCGAATCTCTTACTGCCGTAACAATTATTTTAGAAACCTATGTAATGAACCTTTGTAACCTCTTCTGATAATGTGGTTATTTTACTGAACCTCAGTCGTAATAAATAGAGGAAAAAAGGGTTATGTGATTTCTTGAATTTATGTCGATATTTTCAACATTTTTTAAATTCCTGGGGCAATTCTTATTGAACACTTTATTGACTGAAAGGTATTATAGGTCGTTTCAAATGGCAAGCAATTTATTAAGCGTCACTAAAATAAGTTTTTCCTTTTATTTTACCTCATGTTGGCTATGTTTTAAATTAAGATTATTCAGAATAAGCTTTTGTTTACTTTTGTTTTATGACTGTTGTATTAAAGCTAATATCAAATTTAATAATCCCTTTGACCGACTCAACACCAGTATTGTCATGTTTATTTTATAAATTTTATTTTTGTTGAAACGAAATGAAATAAGAATTTTGTAGCTGTGTAAAAGGTACTCATCGATTAACATGGAAATGAAAGTCCAGCATTTTCTATCCGTTCCCTCTGTATATTCTGATTTCAATTAAAATAGGCAAGGCAAACTTATGGCAAAGTGTCCCTAATTTCGGATACATTTCGGCGAATATAGAATTAGAAAGGTATAAGGTATTTCTATACAGGGTGAAGGATTTTCGCGTTCCGTAATGGAAATCTCCATTAAATTAGATCAATGTGAGCCAAAATCTGAATGGGAAGAATAAAAATATATTGTGTTTTAGATGATTTCGTATTCTGGCAATCAATTTGTGTTTTCCGAGTTTCCATACAAGACTATTTTTGACTAAAATAATGCATTGCAATAATATGTTATGTGCCATTCTACCGTCTAATATAAGACTACGTTAAACCCAACTTCATTTTGAAACTCTTAAAAAAAGTGTAAACGGCGTGGTGTGTTGCCATTTTAAGATTCGGCTGTTAATTTACGTAATTCATCCCAACTTCACATGATAAACGTTGTATAACGAAATCAAAATTAATTTCTTCTACACGGATGCTTAAAAATCTCTATCAAATAAGCCTAATAAAAGTGCAAAATTCAATTGTTTTTCGTTATTCATTTGTTTTCTGAAATAAAAACAATGGAATGCTGCCTTATTATGGGAAATAAAATGCTAAACAACTTTCATAAATAATCAAACACTAATGAGTCGCTTTATCAGATAATACCAAGTTTAGTTTGGTTCCAGTTTTATTTCGTTTACTTAAAAAAAATTTTTTTTATTCCCACTGTGTGTATCAGTATAATTGGTCTTCATACTTTCTCTTTCATCCTCTCGCCAGAGCATATTATACGGAACAAAAATATTTACATTGTCTATAGGTAATTGTTACAGCTTGTCATCTTTTTCTTTTCTTTTGGTTAGTTTTGTTTCGTGGTTAGGTGGAAGATCAGCAAGTGGAAGCTGTCTCCAATGCTGAACTCCCACTGAGATTTATTTACGTTAATTAAAATTTTTAGTCTAAATTTTATTATACATCTTATTTTAATTTATATATTTATGTAAGGTCATGAATAAAGGCATTTATTATTATTATTGTCAGTGTTTCTTGTCATAATTCAGGTCTAGCTGGTTAACTAATCGCACGGATTAAAATCAAGTAACGATTAGTGTTTCGTCTAGTCAAGCCTTGTCGAGTCTAAATTCTATAATTAAAAAAAAATAAAAATAAAATAGATCAAATGCAATCATAATAATTAAAAATAATTATTATTATTATTATTATTATTATTACTGTGTATACAGTCGATATTTACTAAGATATATACTATATCCCATACATAATGGGCACCCTGTATACTAAAATTTATCAAGACGGTGTTTACCCAGATAACTGGAGGCAAGCAATAATTATTCCGATTCCAAAACTTGGAAAAGACGCAACCAAACCTTTTCATTGAAAACATCTTGTTTAAGTAATGTTTTGGAAAGGATGGAAAATGGAATTTCATAGTGATCTGTTTTAATTTGCATCCTATTTTAATGCTGGTGAATGAGCTAGTACCCTCTGTACAGGGCCGATATCATTCCGTCTATATAAGCTGACGACTTGGTTATTTTTCACCCGTGTGAATAATTGAAGATATTCAACTGGCTTTGCAGGATGGTATCAATACTCTCCCAAAAACTGCGGAAAATATTGGTTTCCACTACTCTTCTGAGAAAACAAATGCCATTCAAGATGTTTTAATAGATTGTCTTGCGTATACCAATGAAAGAGAGAATTTGAATCTATAAAGACATGAGTAGCATTTTTAAGTAATTATCGCATGAGTATTGAACGTTTAACAGTTTCTAAAAGTAATTGACATGTTTAGACAAATTTAAGCGCGTTAATAAAAAAATGGCGCAGACCTTAGCAGTTTGGTACATAAAGGGCACTAAATCACTCCTTTCGAGCATTACTCAGCAATTTACTAAAAAATATTTTAGTGCTTGTTTTAGATGATTACCCTTAGGAACTACTAAATAAAGTCCAACTTGACTTTAACAAATAGTATTCCCAGCACAAATTTATTTTACCGCAATTCTCTGGACCGCCTCAATCTCCCTTGTTTTAGTTAGAAAGTGACGGGACAAAATAAAAATGATATTAACGGTAAAAAGACAAATACCAATTAGGGAAATATGCTTTGCAAAGACATTTCATCCTAATTGGTAATCGATGAGCAAGTCGAACTAATAATAATTTAATTCTTAACTGTAACTCTAAACAAATATAAAAACGGTCTGTAATTAATTATTGACGGGATTACTTCAATAACCTGCTATTGAGTGTCGAGTTGGACCTCTAAAATAAAAAAAGGTTCCAATGTTGCAAAGAGTGCATTAATTATGTCCTTATAAATAGGTCTGTTCTTCCCTCTGTCACAGTGCTTCCAAGGGAGGCTTTGCCTCTTTATAAATTCGGAACCTACGAAAATCAGTTATTGATTGATTTTGAAAAAACGTTTCGCCGTTGTAACAACACAATCTGCATTAATTTTCATTACTTCTTAAATTTTGAATGTAAACAGCTTTCCACATTCTCGAAAATATAATACCTACCAGGAATAAGCCGGTTTCCACATTTTACCGGTTAAATTTAGGTGGCATAAGTTGCTTTGTGATACATATGTGTATCATAGTTGAATCCCTCATGAAAGTTATCTGTCAGATAAATTTGGTGAACAAACGAAAAGTGCATTAGTAGCAATAACCGAAGAAAGCACTATGTGTTTCATAACCACTATGACCGCAATATCCAAAATACTCGGAGTTTCTTCGATATGCGTCGTATGCATTACAACAAACATGTCCATAAACATCTCCAATACGAGGAATCGAAATCGTAATTAACCCCGGGAAACGCCAAAACCCTTGTCGCATTTGAAAACGATTTCTTAACGCAAAACATCTGGATGCGCAATTTTCTGGGATGTTACTGAATTGGGGACACGCAATTGCGTTCGAGCTCGTTAAAAAGATAATTAGGAAATGCTGCTTTCAACCGAATGAAAAGTACACAGGCGTGCCAATTACTTTTTAAACGTAGCAGTAAAACCATTTCACGATATGCGCTTCTTTCATATGAATAGTATAATTGTCGATAGAATTCGGTTGTATACCAATTATGTAAAGCCTAGGAGCGCGTTTTCACAATAGCATGTGGTGTATAATCAGAAGGTAATTATTTACCTGCTCATTCTAATGCAGTGGCAAAGTTTCTCAATTTCACAATGGGGCAGTGTTTACCGGTAAGTGGAAATGATCTTAGACAAGTTGATCCTATATTTTTGAGCAAACTTTGTCGAGTTAGTGCCAACGAAAAACATCACACCAACAGAGAGTACTTTGATAATATTTCCGCATAATTCGTCGACAATACGAGGATATACAAGTATGTGCAAAACAGCCAGAGCAACGTTTTTAACGCGATTTTCAAACATGAAAATGCTCAATTAATGTTTTCTCCGTGCTTCCGTAAATCCGATAAGGTCTCAAGTTCAACGGTGATAGGTCGCAAAAAGTTTCTTAATATCAAAATTGAGGAATACAGACCCCCATAAAATTTAGCTAAGACGCACTAATTTGATAAGAAAGTGGAGGCGAAAGTTGAAAAGAAAGAAATCATTTTAAATAGAAGAGACGGACGTCATTCGTGACTAGTTTTGTTTTGGTGGACGCAACTTTGCTGTAATGTAAGCGTATTACTGCAAGACAATTGGAAAGACAATCAGTCTTTATAATCGTAAAGTTCTTACTATAGAAGAAAGTTAGTTGGGTGCGACGAGTATTAAGAGATTTAAGTGGTCGTGATCAAAGTGAATGTTTTAAGTCGAATTAAAGAAGACAAAACCATTCCAAGATCTTAAATC